TCATTTCTATGCCAAGAAGTACATATCTCACAACAATTGACGCCGTCTGTGGGAAGATCCATACTTCTTGGCTAGAGGTGTCCGTGTAAAAGTGTTCACGGCCAGCGACGAAGAAGAGGAGTTTGACATTCACGAACAGAGAAGCAAACAGATTGTGTCGCAGGCAACTGAATCGCGACAGATTCGGTGAGCAGTGGAAGCTTTGATCCACTGGATTCGCACCGCAGGTTGTGCAGTTCGGCGAAACGGAGGAGGAACAGTCCGCGAGCTAGAGCCGAAAATTTGCGACAGGGCTTCCAGTAGAGGATTTCAGAGCAGTAGTTCGGTCTTGCGAGTAGCTCGGCCAGAGGGAAGAGGTGGAGATCGCGTAGAGAAGGGTTAAGGGAGTTCCCTGTTCGGGATTTTGCGAAGCAGGAGGACCTGAGCAGTTTGGCGAGGCGCGAAGCGACGGCTCTGGAGAGGCAGTTATTCTCGTGCGAGAGGCAGAGGAACTCCTGATTTGTTTCGCTTAACACAGAGAAGTGCATGCGGGAAGGAGGGGCGAGCACAAAACAAAAAGTTTTCTTCGGTGAATAGGTGTGATCTCTGCCAGAAGGGATCGAAGCTCTCCATTCGGTTGGCTAAGACAGTGGAGTTCACGAGGAGAAGCCTAGTCATTGGAAGGGCAACAGGTAGAATTCATTGGAAGAAATCCTAGCCACGACAATGAGTTCCGTCAAATTCGACATTGAGAAATTCAATGGGAATAACGACTTCGGCCTATGAAGAGTAAAGATGAGAGCTCTATTGGTTCAGCAGGGTGTTGCAGAAGCCTTGCAAAGGTCAGCGGCATTGCCGACCGACATGACCGAGAACGAGAAGATAGTCATACTGGACAAGGCCCATCGCTTTATAATCCCTGAGCTTGGGTGACAAAGTTCTGCGGGAGGTGTCGAGGGAGACAACGGCTCAAGCACTTTGGGCCAAACTCGAGGTACTCTACCTGACAAAGTCTCTGGCTAATAGACTCTTTCTGAAGTAGCGCCTATACTCCTTCAAAATGCATGAAGACAAATCCGTCTCAGAGCAGATCGACGAGTTCAACAAGGTCATCGACGACCTCGAGAACATCGACGTCAAGATGGATGATGAGGACAAGACACTGTTGTTGCTAAACTCTATTCCGAAGAGCTACGAGCATTTCAAGGATGCGATGCTCTATGAAAGGGTGCATACTATTACTCTGGAGGAGGTCCAATCTCTGATTAGAGCGAAAGAACTTCAGAGGAAGCATGACATGAACAAGGAAGTCAGCGGAGACAGTCTTATTGTCAAAGGAAGATCAGACAACAAAAATTTAAGAAATGGTCAGTACATATTAAGGTCAAGCAAGGATGGCAAGAATCAGTCATCAAGGGGATCTTTCAAGTGCTATCATTGTCACAAGGACGGTCATTTCAAGAGGAACTGCCCAGAAAGGAAGAATAAGTACCAAGAAGAGCTAGAAGAATCAGGAGAAGCAAGCGTAGCCTCTGATGACTACGATTCTGCTGAGACCCTGGGGATCACAGAATTTGAATCCAGTAAGGAGTGGATCCTCGACTCAGGGTGTTCTTTCCACATGTGTCCTCACAAAGACTGGTTCGAGACACTGCAACAGGAAAATGATGGGTCTGTTATACTGGAAGACAATAAAGCTCACAGGGTTGTTAGAAGTGGATCAATCAGGATAAGGATAATTGATGGAGTTGAACGAGTACTGAAAAATGTTAGGTACGTACCAGAGCTTAAAAGAAATATGATTTCTTTAAGTATGCTGGAGTCAAGCGGATGCTCGTTCAAGACAGAGAATGACTGCATCAGAGTAACCAAAGGCTCTCGTGTCGTCATACAAGGAGTCAGGAAAAATGGACTGTACTCTCTTATCGGAAGAACTGTGATTGCTAAGTCCATGTACTGTTTGGAGTTAGCAAACTCAAGCAAGGGCTGAAGGCCCCTCAGGGGCCAAATGGAGGGAATCTTTACTTCGAAGCTTCTCAAGTGAGGGTCAAGGTGGAGAATTGTTATTTTGACCCACAATTATTGAACTAAGGTAAAAGGGCACTTTTATAATGTGGTACCGCTCACCTACTGCTCACCTACCGCTCACCTACCTCCCACCTACCACTCTCTTGCTTCTATAAATAGAGAGGGTGTGAGGCTTAGGAGAGCAAGGGAAGAGATCTTAAGCTATCACGAAGGAGGAGAAAAGGAAGAGATCTTAAGCTATCACGAAGGAGGAGAAAAGGAAGAGATCTTAAGCTATCACGAAGGAGGAGAAAGGGAAGAGATCTTAAGCTACCACAAAAGAGGAGAGAATAGCTAGAGAGTTAGAGAGGAGGAGAGCATCTTGAGGCCTTGTATCAAGGTGTCGCTTGAGATGGAGGCCATAGAAGGAAGGTGAGGGCTCATCTCTATGTATAAGCTATGTATTTTCCATTTCTTTTGTCTTGGTGAACTATTTGAATGACTCCTCACCTAAAGATTAAAATGAAAAATTTAACACATTTTATAACCAAACAATGCACAGTACCTCAAATAATTTGATGTATTTTTCATATCTCACACTTAAACTTTCAGATTTATTTTAGAGCTTTAAAATTATGCATAAAAAAATGTATCGACTTCTAGAAAGTAGTAAAGGTGCAATATTTGATGTGATAATAAAATTTGAGTGATAAATTTTTACATAAGAAATTTTATGTGCAAGAGGTGTACACTAATAAAAATTGTGTGCTATGTAATGTAGATAATATACCTACCGTAAATTTAGATAATAGCACATAATTCCTATGTATTTACACATCTTAGACCTAAACTGTCTCTTTTACATACAAAACACATTGACATTATAAGCTTATTGAAGAAAAATATATTTCACCTTTAAAAACAGTTTAAGTGCAATTTTTAATGTAATATTAAGGATTTAATCAATCTTACGCTGGTGGAGCGCCAATTAGTTGGGCTATAGAATGCTCCTCCATGTACATGGACATGTCAATTCGAACAATAAGGGTTTCATCATCAAACAATTGTTCTGCGAGGGCCTTAGCAAGCTCCATCTTTCCGACACCAGTTGGACCAAGGAAGAGGAATGAATTAGTGGGTTGTCGAGGCCAATCAAAACCTGCTCTTGACCTCAGAACAACCTCTGCAACTGCATCGACTGCTTGATCCTGTCCGACAACTCTTTTATGAAGCCTCTCGGCAAGACCTATGAGCCTTTCCTTCTTGTTCTGGCCAAACATTATTACCGGAATCCCCGTCCATCGGCTGATCACCTGGGACGAAGATATGGAGATTAAATGACTAATTATTCATTCGACAGACAATAACATATAAAGATAAAATTTTGATTCAATAATGGAAGTTAAAGGTTAAATTACCTCAGCTATTTGATCAGGGCCTACGTTTTCGAGGAGCATGATGTTCTCACCACCGGTTTTTCCTTCTAGTTGGGCATTGGCGGCGTCTATCTCTTGAAGAGCTCCATATTGGAGAACAGCAACATGCCTTGAATTCATCCTACTTTCGACTTCTTGCAATGCTGGCAATAGTTCTTCACGCTTCAGCTTCACCCTTCGGAGTTCATCTAATATTTCCTTCTCCATTTTGTCTCTCATCTCCAAATGTTGCAGCTTGTTCCTCAAATCATCCAATTCCTTTCTAACCTGGAAAATATACATCGAATTTTAACATAAATATATAAAATTAAAGAGCTTTTATGTTGGTTAACAAATATTAGCTATTTATTTTGATGAATCACTGAAAGGTTATTAAATTCACTAATTCCATGATAATTTGACTTCTAAAATTGAATTAATGGTCGTTATCAGTTCGCCGCCGCAATTAGTTTTCTCATTTCATCTCATTTTTCCATCTTTAAATAAATGATCTAAATGTTGCTCAATTGATTCAATTCTAGAGACACCTTAATACAATAACATCTAGTTGGAAAATAAATGAAGAAGAAAGGAAATGAAATCATAATCATTGATCCTTATAATGGTGATGAAATGTTAAATCAAACAAATCATACTTGATTTTAGAAAAAAAAACAAAATTTTAATATTATATCATTTGAATAATAATGTAATCTAACTATTCGAGCATTAATAGTGAAATCTAGATGAATCTCACGTCAGTATGTCGAGATTTGCTAGCTTTATCCTTCTCCTTTTCAGGAGCATCCATCTCAACTTCAAGTTGAATCCTTCTCCTCGCCATATTAGCAATCTCCTCAGGTCGTCTGTCATGTTGAATCCTCACATTAGCACAAGCCTCATCCACCAGATCAACTGCCTTGTCTGGCAAATGGCGTCCTTCAGAAACACAAATCGGTAATCAAATTTTAGTTTAACGAAGAGAGAATGAATAGATTAATAATTTCATTTACCATTTATGTATCTTGCAGAAAGTTCTGCAGCAACAACAAGAGCCCGATGTTGAATTCTAACCAAATGATAGCCCTCATACCTCTCCTTCAACCCACAGAGAATGCTAATTGTGTCTGCAACACTGGGCACAGCCACATAAACTTGCTGGAATCTTCTCTTGAAGACTGCATCCTTTTCAACAAACTTTCTGTATTTTTTCAGTGTTGTAGCTCCAATGCATCGCAACTGTCCCGTTGCAAACAATGGTTCAAACAAATACGCAGCATTCATGGAACCCTCCAACCTACCAGCGCCAAGAACACAAGAACACGATGGATTTCATCAATAAATAGAACAACCTTTCCTGCCGCATCTTCAACTTCCTTAAGGACGGCCTTTAATCTTTCTTCAAACTCTCCCCAGTACTTTGATCCGGCCATCAACACATCCATATCGAGAGAGATGAGCCTCACGTAGGAAAGAGTACTCGGGACATCACCTCTCGCGATTCTCTGAGCCAAACCCTCGAAAACTGCTGTCTTGCCGACTCCGGCCTTGCCGATGAGAACAGGGTTGCTATTAGTCCGCCGAGATAGAATGCAAAGAACACTTCGAATTTCTTCATCCCGGCCGATCACCGGATCTATCTTCCCGGCCTGTTCGATAAGGTCGTGGCCATAGGTCTTGAGCGCTTGGAAATTAGTATCACCTGAAGTAGATGCGGGAATCTCATCTGGAGGAGGATGCTGGGGGGGGGGGCCTTCTTGAAAGCCGGCTT